CAGCCTCTCAGCCCGCCCCTCCCACTGCCCAGTTCCAGGATGTGCCGGCCATGCTGGCGCATTTTGGGGTGCTGGCGGAGGCACGGGCAGCCCTGGCACAGGAGGCAGAAGCTGGGCAGGAACGGCTGGCCCAGGGCAGGGCACGGCTCCAGTGGTACCAGGAGGAGATGAGCACTGAGCTCCTGAGCACCAAGAATGAGCTGGCCCAGCTCCACACGCACCTGGAGGCTGCCCACCAAGACGTGCTCCAGTGGGTAAGAGGGGATATGGGGTGACCCAGGACCCCCCACCAAGGGAAAGGGGCAGCAGTACAGACCCCTGGTATCTGCAGAGGGGAGATGCCCAAAGTGGTGGTGGTGGTATGCTGGGTTCCACCCCCTGGGCTGAGCTGAGGGTCCCCACACATGCCCAGAAATCAGCAGCTCTGCATGGGGGGATACACAGCCAGGACTCCTGGGTCCCCCATCCTGGCCTGGGGGGTGCAGGAGGACACAGGGCAGTGGTGGGGGGGAGCCAAGGCTTTGTTTCTGTCCCCTAGGAGTCCTGCTGGGCCCGTGTCCAGAGCACAGCCACCCAGAAGACCCTGCTGCTGGGGCAGATCAAGCTGGCCGTGCTGAACCTCTTCCAGCTCTCCACCGCACGGCTCAGGATCCCCATGGATGTGGCCCTGGAGGACACCGAGGCCCAGTTGGACATGGTCAGTGCAGCCCTCTCCCCTGGGCAGCAGGGCTGGGGGACACAGGGACATTCATGTCCCTGGATGGCTGTGGCATCAGGCTCCCATCTCTGCAGTTGCTGCTCTGCCTGCGAGACCTGACTGACATCTGTGCCATCAGCAGGCACCCACTGCGCCACAGGGGTGCCAGGCTGTCTTGGAGTCAGGAATAGCCCCTGGGAACGCCTGGCTGCTCCCAGGGCTAGGGGGAGGCTGCCAGGGCCAGTGTGGAGCCACAGGACCCCTGGGGATGGAGGCTGCTCTCTGGTTAACTCCACGACGAGAGGCAACGTGGACAGCTGTGGCACAGGCACACTGGGGTGGCACCGCTCTGGGGCAGGAACAGGGAGCTGCTGTTGGTATCTCCGAAGGTGTCTCCCATCAAAATACATCCCAGCTGTGGAGATGCAGGACTCACTTGTTTTAGGACTGCGCCTGGGGGTGGCCTGAGGGAGGAGGAATTACCCCAGGCATGATGCTTGGAGCAAGGTCAGAGAAGAGTCGGGATGCAAAACCAGCCAAGTTTTTACTGTCTCCTTCCCTGATTCCCAGCCTAGGTGTGGGGGGAGTGTTGGGGGCACAGTCCTCTCCCCTACATCCTCTTCCTCAGCTTGCCCTTCTTGGTGGTGCCTGCCCGGCGCCCGAAGGCCATTTGCCGCAGTTCCTGCACCCGCTGCCGGTTCCTGGCCTTGAGGCGCTTCAGGCCCCCGCTCTGCAGGAACCGCTGCTTGGCCGCCTTCTTGCGCTGCTTCAGGATCTGCTGCTTGTTCTTCAGCTCTGAGCGCACCCTGCTCTGGGCTGGGGGTTGTGTGGGCCCTGCAGAGTGACATGGCCACGCTCAGGGTGGGGGACAGAGCCGGGGGGGTGACGTGAGGCTCCGTCACTTGCTCTGGGTACTCACCGTGCCCGCGCCTGTGCTTTCCTCTGAACTGCTCCCTGCTGTGATGGCCTTCGTCATCCTCATCCCGCTCGTCAACCTTGTACTTCTGCTTCCACTTCTCATAGCTGGGACGGGCAGGTTAAGGGAATGTGTGGAGACTCTCCTCACTTGACCTGCTGTGGTGTCTGACCGTGCTCCCTCCCCGCCCCTGCCCGCAGGGGATGGAATCTGTAGGAGCAAGGGCCCAATGCCCCCAACCCAAAAAAAAACAGCTGCCATGGTCCAGCCCCCACTACCCTCCAGCCCCCGGACCCAGGCAGCAGCACCCACAGGCAGGATACAGGTTGTTCTTGTAGGAGCTGCTGATGTAGCGCCCGCTCTCTGTCCGCACCTTCTTCTTGTCCTCCTGGCCTGTCTGCCCCACAAACCGCTTCTTCTTGCGGTCCCTGCGAGAGAGGGGAGTGCAGTGAGACCAGGTGGTGGGACCCCCAGCCCTAATTCTGCCCCCAGCCCATGGCCAGACCCCACTCACCACTTGAGCAGCTGCTTGCTCCTGTTGAGGTTGTGGTTCTCGTCGCCCATGAGGTCCAGGACAGCCCCGGCCGCCTGCTGCTCAAAGGCACTGCCCTCGCCGCCCACACTCAGCCTGCAAGGGGGGTCATGAGAGTGGCCCCTGCACAGGCTGGGACAGGACAGGAGCAGGAGCCCGCCCCAAACTCACCCCCGCTCGCTCTCAAAGTCCTTGGGCCGGTATGGGATGTAGAAGTCCTCGACCTGCTGTGCCGGCTGTGGCTTTTTCCTGGGACCATCTTCTCCCCTTTGGCCCCGTTTTCGCTTCTGGCCCACCACATTGGAGAACACGTCCTGCATGGGGACAGTGGAGGGGCTGCAGGAGCCACAACCCCCCAGCATCCCTGCAAGTCTGTGCACCACCCCCAAGCCATGGCGCATTTTGGGGGCACAATTTTGCTGCCATCACCGGGCCAAAGCCACTCTGCAGCAGCTCCTGTGTCCATGACCCTGTTACCTGGAGGTCTTCCTGCTCTCCTTCTCCTTCCCCATCCTGGGGCCCAGGCGGGGTGGGGCACTGCCCTTTGAGTGCTGCTGCCCGTTTCTCCTGCTGCCCACGCTGGAACTTCTCGATCAGGGCACTGTCGTGGCGCCGCTTGGACCTCATGACGGTGCTGGCCAGCGTCCGGGATGTGGCGTTGATCTCGAAGATTGTCTGTCCCCCAGGGTGGGAGCATGATTCCCAGTGAGCCACACGGACCTTCCTTCCCACCCAAACCCAGGCATCTCAACTCACCGCCTTGGACTTGTAGGTTTTAATGCTGTCCACGAACTTCAGCCTCTCCAGCTCAGTGTCTTCGAAGCGAGTGCCTGGGGAAGGCGGGCACGGAGAGGGGCACAGATCAGTTCCCTGGCAAAGGCAAGGGGGTCCCCTCCCTTGGCACCCCCGAGGCACTCACTGAAGAGCGGGTGCATGCCCAGCTGGGACACATCCAGGTCCTTGGCCCTCTTGATGGACTCGGGCGAGGGGCCGGGCCGGGAGCGCAGGTATTGCTTCTGGGCGTTGTCGGCGACGCGGCGCAGGCTGCGCAGCTCCAGCGAGCCCTCGTGGTCCGTCAGCAGCAGGCACTCCTCATCATCCACCAGGCTCTGGGGGACACGGCCCAGGACCCCACCAGCATCTGCAGCACAGGGGACACTGTGTCACCTCCCCAGCATCCACCCTGGATTTATCGGAGCAGCCCCAGGGGGCTTGGCAGTGCTCGATCAACACCCCCAACACCCCGTTTTCCGCATTGCCCCTCTGTGTGAGGGTCAACCATAAGACCACAGACTCCAGCAGCGGCCAAGGGTAATGCCCCAGTGGCCCTGTGGCCACTGTCCCAGCTTGGCTACGCAGCCACTGCCTGCCTCACCAGCAGGCATCTCCTGGGCTCCAGCGAGGATGAGCGGGCGTCCCAGGAAGAGGTGGAGGTCGAAGACATAGGGCATCTCATCAGGAGCCACCAGTGAGTAGGCAGTGCCACTCCGGCCAGCTCGGGCCACGCGACCTGGCAAGGGGAGGAGGAGAATGGGAAACCAGACCTTGTGCCAGCCTGGCCTGTCCCCACCCAGACAGGGACCCACTGGTGTCCCTGGGAGCCCATGCACGTGACATTTACCAGGTGGGCATGGCTGGGGAAGGGGCAAAAAGGAGCCCACCACAGTGCCATCCTAAAGGGAAGGTGCCAGCTCTGCCCTCAAGAGCTCCCACAGTCCAATTGGGACATTGGGTACACTCCTGACACTGCTTTGTCTCCAGCCTGTCCCCTGTTGTCATGACATGGCGACCTCCCGCCCCAAGCCAGGGACACCGGTGCCAGCTCAGCAGGCCACAAGGAAGGGGAAAACAGAGGACAAGGCACAGCCCACTCACACCCTCCCCGTCCCCCTGAGGGACCCCCAGGACCCTGTGTGGGGCACTGGCACCCACCGACACGATGCAGGAACAGCTTGGCCTTGGCGGGGAAGCTGAAGTTGATGACGTTGTCCAGCATGGGGATGTCCAGCCCGCGGGCGGCCACGTCGGTGACCAGCAGCACTGGGCACTTGCCCTGGGAGAACTTGGCGATGTTGATCTTGCGGGCGGTCTGGTCCAGAGAGCTGTAGATGTGGGTGCAGCGGATGCCCTGCGCCGTCAGCAGCTGGGGAAGGGGAGGAAGAGAGACGGGATCCCACCTGGGCATGTGCCCTCAGCCAACAGACAGGGCCTGAGGCTCCAGGGTGCCCACTCAGACACCCAAATCCCACTGTGCTCCACCTCTTTGAGGGGTAGGTGGATGCAGCACCTCCACAGTCACATATGCTGGGATTTCTTCTTCAAGCCACTGAAACAGCGGCAGAAGCTCCAGCAGGGAGCCATATCCATGGCTGAAGACCCCATGTGGGTCTGGAAAGGTATCCTAGGCACCTCCAAGTGCCACTTACCTCCTTCAGATACTCCGTGTGGTGCTTGGTGGCCACGAAGACGACGGTCTGGTCCTGGGGCTTCACCACACTGCGGAGCAGGTGGAGCAGCACGGCCGGTTTGTCGTCCCCGCGCACGTGGAAGAACGCCAGCTGTGACGGGAGGGCAGCGCTCAGCCCTGTGCCCCACCCTGTGCCAGCCCTGCCACCCTGGTCCCCTCCTCAGGAGCAAGTGGCTTGTAGGAGGTGCGGGCACAAAGCACAAGGCCCGTCTCACCTTGAGCTGCTCGCTCAGCTTGGACTCCACATCCAGGCGGATCAGCATCGGCTCGGTGAGGCCTGTGGGATGTGGGACACGCGGGACACGGGTCGCACGTGGGATGTGCTACTGGGACCAGCCCCACTGAGGGGCTTGGGGACACCAAGCGTTAATCCAGCTCAGTTTTGTCAGTGCTGGGCTCAGCCCAGCTGTGGGACCGTGCCATGTCCCTGTCCCCAGGCTCCCCCAGTGCCACCTGCCCCCTGCTCCTCACCAGCACGGGCGAACTCGACGAGCAGCTTGGGCAGTGTGGCGGAGAAGAGAACGGTCTGGTGGCAGTCTGGGAGCCGGGCAATGATCTCGTGGAGCTGCTCAGCAAAGCCCATCTCGAAGAGCCTGCAGGGCAGGGGACGTGGGATGTGGCAGGTCCCTCACTGCCACTGCAGGGACACATATGGGGACACTGCCAGCCTCGGGCCCCCCCTGTGCCCCACTGACCTGTCGGCCTCGTCGAACACCACATACTCCACAGTGTGCAGCTTCAGCTTCATCTCCACTGCCACGTGCACTAGGCGCCCGGGGGTGGCGATGATTCTGTGGGGACAGAGGTGGTGACAGGACTGGGGAGGCGACAGTGTCCCCACCCCATGCTGGGAGCAGATTCCAACTCCAACCCAAAGTTCCACAGGAAGATGCTCCAAGGGAACACCAGGACACGTCCCTCAGGCACACTGGCTCTAAACATCAGTGATATCCCTAGAGAGGAGATATCATTTCCAGGGGCCATTTCCCCACCAGATCCCCTCCCTGTGCCCCACTCACATGTCCGGGTTCTCGTGCAGGGCAGCAAACTGGTCCTCCATCCTGTGAGAGAGGGGAGAGGATGAAGTGGTCCAGGGCAGCTCAGCCCCTCACAGGGTTTTGGGGAGGTTTTAGGGAAGCAGGGACCAGAGGGGGACACAGGGACAGCTTACTTGTCTCCTCCCAGGATCAAGGCTGTCTTCAAGCCTGTGAACTTGCCCAGCTTAAGGGTGAAAAAGAAGCATGTTGGAAACCAAACCCATCGCTCCCATTGTCCCCGCTCGCCCCTGCTGTCCCCTGTACCTCCTTGGTGAACTTGAGGGTCTG